GGGGCATTGATTCATTCACGTCGGACCGCAGTGGGGCTCCTCCTCTCCCTGGGTTGCTGGTGCTCATCCCTATGTCATAACCGGTATGTGTGCATACGTGTGTCTGCCCCAGCATGCCGAGTCCGCTCCCCTGGGTCCCTGACCGTGTGCACAGGGTGCCTCCTCCTCCCCAGCTGTGAGGAGCGGGGCTCTGACATGGCCTGTCCCTTTAGCTCACTCTGAGCGTTTGACACGCCGAGCGCAGAGGTCAGCCTGACCTACTTTCCCCTGGCGGTCTGCTCCTCAGCAGGGGGGGGGGGGGAGAGAGGAGGAGGAGGAGGAGGAGGACGGAGCTGCCTTACGCCTCCTCTGCTGTCCTGGTGTGTTAAATCACCGCCATTTGTTCGGAGACACGTACCAGTGTGTGTGTGTGTGTGTGTGCGCGTTTCTTTAGGTGTGTAGGAGGCATCCCACAGACACACACAGGCCTGTGCTGAGGTTGGATACGAGGCGCTCTATGGGGGTTGCAGGTAGATGCTGGGCAGCACTTGGGCCGGACCCCTGCAGTGGGCTCTGTCTAACTCACTTAGTGCATCACTGTGTTCACATCCTCTGACCTCTTCCTCCTACCTCACATCCCTTTTACCCTCATACCCATTTTACTTTCTTTAAGCTGATATACTTTGTACATAAACAGCCTTAGGATTTAAATCTAAGGAGCTGCTGCTCAAATGCTGACATATTGTTTATATGCTCGACGGTAATTGGCCTTAATTTTTCATCAGCCTATCGTAGTCTTGGTACTCCTTTCCCTCCTACTCAGCAAATGCACTGCGATCTATTAAATGCCCTGATAGTCTCCGTCATCATGTTTTTACTTTTCTTCCCCTGCTGCTGTTGTAATATTTTCGAGTTCCCTTTTGTTCTGGTTCATGTCTTCGCCTGCAAATGACCCACAGCCTGTTAGTTTCACACCACAGATGTGTCTAAAGCAGTGGGGAGAGTTTGTCTGACACAATATGTGGCTTCACGGCCTGTCAGGAGGAGAGGAGAGCAGGCAGGCAGAGTTCATTAAAAAGTAAACTTCTAATGTAGCGGCAGGCCTCGGCTGCTTGACTGTATCAATGATTTAGTCCCAGCAGAAAGTCCTTAATGGATAGAGCCACCTCTCTGAGTTCAGCTGCTGCTGTCCGCCTGGCATCAAGTGGCACACACACTCAGGGGCTGTGATGGGAAAATGGTTTGAAGTACTTAAGTGTGTATAAGAATTGTACAGCTTGCATCACACTCCCTCCCGCTCAGACACTCCCCTGTTGTCATGTCCCAGGGTTGTAAAGTAGCAGAGCTTGCTGAATTGAGAGCCTTATACCTGTTAGTCACCATCCACTATGCATGATCACATTCTGTGTTCACATTGTTTTATTCATCTGAACTAAAGTCCAACTGTGACAAGGCAAGGGATAAAGTGAGGCTAAAAGGACAAAGTCTGTGTAATGGTGCTGTCACTGCAGCCTGTGTGAGGTAGACTGGCTGTGAAGAGGAAGAGCAGCTGAGTTGAAGGGGGGGGGGGGGGGGGGGCAGGATCTCTGGTGGTACTTGGCAATATTGAAAAAATCAATGACGACAATATTTTGTAAAAAAACATCTATTGACATTGTGATGATATTGTACGTTTGGCAGTTTGTGCTTTCATAACACTTTTACTCAATGATTTTTTTGGTCAAAATAAATAATCAGAATGTGGATATAATGACTAAGTGGGTAAAGCCAAATAATACACATTTGAAATGTACATCAATTTACTGTAGTGCGTCCTTTAACAGCAGGAAAAGCCAATATTTTTCGCGATATTACGAATACCAATATCTGGTCTTATATCATGATATCGATAGAAAATCCAAATATTTTCAAGCCCTCATTTCCAGTCATGTTTATGTGCACTCACAACAGTAAGTTTAAGAGCCACCACATCACTAATACTGTGTTTGAATTCAAGTCTTTGTGACTCTTCTCAGATCCAAGCCTACAGATCAGTGATGATGCTGCAGCGTCACAGCGTTGCACACTCTGAGGGAAAGTGGTTATCACGTGGCTGGATTTCATTCAGACCACATAGAGTTCAGTCTGATTTCTTCCGTGTGTAGTTTTGAAGATCCAAGGAGAATATATTGTGGTTTGAGACCTATCCATAAATGCATACTAGTGTGTAGCATAGTTACGTAACGCATAATGTTTTGCTGTTATACTTGAAATAAGGTCAACTGGAGCTTAACAAAACGGATCAACGAATCCATGAATCCATTGAAAGAAAATAATCATTATTTTTGCTATTTTAAGTAAATTAAAATCATTCTGAAGATTACCTACTTTTGTTGTGTTTTATAGAAATGATTGATTTCAGATAAGGCGAGACATTTGTCTTTCAGTAACTTGGCATGTTCACTCTCTTTTGAAAGTAATAACAGAAAACCACAAATAGGTAATTGCAAACATATACAAGATTTCTTGATTTTGAAAGTTCTCTTAGTAAGATGTTTGAGGATGTGTGAGAATCTCTTTTTTGTGACTTTCATTTGAAACCTGATGAACTTTTGTGTAGTTGGCGTGTGATTCCTGCTTCTTTAATATCTCGTGAGAATCTGTGTCTCTTAATACCCCGTCTGTTGTGCTGTTGTCTTTGTCTGTATTGTTCAAATACCCTCTCTTCAGGTGTTTAGGTGATACTTCAGCCCAAATCTTTATCGTAATAAACACTTAGCCCTGCAGTTTGAAAGGCGGCTTTTAAAATGCAGCATTTAGGAACAGCTATGGTTATCTTGAATTAGTGTAAGTTATTTCGAATTTGGTGGTATAGACACAAATGTTTTGTGAATTATGAGTCATGTGGTTTAAGCAGTTTCACGCCAACAATTTAATCATTTAAAAAAACAAATTATCTCAAACTAATACATTCTTCTTCGATGAGTGCAAAGTTATTTGAAGTGCAACCTTTTTAAACGCACAACTTAAAATCATGTCCAGTGCTACAGTCCAAGTGCTTGGGACGATAAAGTGAGAATGTTACTGACAGGCGTAATCTGCTGTTGTGCGCTACATGTGTGAACACTGTCTGGAGCTCTTACGGGACAACGGATGAAGTAAGTGCTAGCATTTAGCTCCTTCTTTTTGTGAATGGGTGTGCCAGACTGCCCGGTTTAAAGGACCCTTCCTCCTCACTGCCCTGCAGGCTGCGAGCCCGCCAGCAGATAGCTAATGTCATGATCACATTTTGGGGATCCATTGTAACATGAATTCATTGTGAAGAAGCAAACTGCCTTCTTTCAAGCCCGCAGGGAAGATGATTTGATACTCAAAAGATAGATTCTGTATCGAGTTTCACTTTCAGAAAAGATTTCCTTTTGGCACAACAACACAATTGTTTTGTCTATTGCTCCAGTTTCCCCCCGCTACCTTTTCTGTTGGAAACAAAGTGTTAGACTTCTTCTGGATTGCATTGGCACTTCAGAGTGATTTAACCAGAAAGATTGACAGCATTACAACCAGGCTCTCATTATCATGCCTCCTGCGGTATAATTGCCCATACTGTTGAATAAGCAGCTCCCATCTTTTGCACTTGGGGGTCTCTCCCTCCCTCTCTCTGTTTCTCTCTTTCTGTCTCTCTCTTTCTGTCTCTCTCTCTCTTTCTGTCTCTCTCTCTCCCTGTCTCTCTCTGTTTCTCTCTCTCTCCCTCCCTCTCCCTGTCTCTCTCTCTCTGTCTCTCTCTCTCCCTCCCTCTCCCTGTCCTCTCTCTCTCTGTCTCTCTCTCTCTGTCTCTCTCTTTCTGTCTCTCTCTTTCTGTCTGTCTCTTTCTGTCTCTCTCTCTCTGTTTCTCTCCCTCCCTCTCTCTGTTTCTCTCCCTCTCTCTCTCTCTCTCTCTCTGTCTGTCTGTCTGTCTGTCTGTCTGTCTGTCTGTCTGTCTGTCTGTCTGTCTCTCTCTTTATTTATCTCTGTCTCCCTGTCTTTCTCTATACTGTCTATCATCTCTATATTTATTGATCTACTGTCTCCATGTCTATTCTATATATCTTATCTCTCTCTCTCTCTCTCCTCTCTTATCTCTCTTGTGCTGCCTCTCTCTCTCTCTCTCTCTGCCTCTCTCTATTTTCTCTCTTTCTGTCTCTCTCTCTCTCTCTCTCTCTCTCTCTCTCTCTCTCTCTCTCTCTCTCTCTCTCTCTCTCTCTCTCTCTCTCTCTCTCTCTGCCTCTCTCTACTTGTGCATCAGTTAAACTCATCAGAGAATCTACAGCTCTTCAGTGTGGCCATCTGTCAATACCACTCCATAAAGTGGAGTAGACAAACGTGTGCATCCATTGGTTCTTGTTCGCCGGCGGCTGGCCTGCCTCCAGCTGCTTCTGAGGGCCCCGCTGTAGCTGGTTAACCCGGGGGCCCGGAGCGTCGCTCTCCAGCCCTTGTGGCTACTCCAGCCCTCCCCCCCTCCCCAATCAGGCAGCTGGATGAACCTCCCTCTTCACCGGCGTGGAGTAGCTTGTAACACTGTAATGAGTTAACTTTCAGAATGATCTACATAATTTATTTCCTGCCCCCCCAGGAGCTCGCTGAAGCATTAATTAATATCAGGCCCAAGTAGCAGCAACCATCCCAGTGTGGGATTCCTTCTGGCACCTATTTTTGGCACCGGAGGAATTCGATATGTTGTGCAACCAGTCTGCAGTTTGTTGGACATTGATGAAAGATACTGCTTCCTGTTGGCTTGGTACACACACTGGGCTCCTGTATGTGTTTGTGGAGTGAAATCTGGACACAGTGGCAGGCTAGATCTCACGTCACTGAGACGAGCTGACCTTGATGACAGGAGCTGTGACTAAACCTTAAAGATACATGCCAACGAGATGTGTGCCCTTGTTACTGCTCGCGGTGATGTTCTCACGTCCTGCAGACTTGTTTGGGTTATCTTGTTTTTGGTATGTGTACACTGACCCCCCCCCTCACCTTTGTCTCTCTCTCTGTCTGTTTCCCCACAGAACTCAATACGGCACAATCTGTCATTGAACAAGTGTTTTCTCAAAGTGCCTCGCTCCAAAGATGACCCAGGAAAGGTGAGACATTTGAATCTGAAAAGAATGCATGCAGTTAATACAATAATATATATACATAGACTAATATGTTTTAGTTTAGTTTCTCAGCTGCCAAAAAAGCCCTGTTACAACATTTCTTTGGTGTGTATCAGCCTATCTCTGGCAGAAAAATGTTACCTTTGAATGGCTGCCAGGACTCTGACAGTCTGGAAATGCATGGCATGCTCGTAATCTATTATGAACCTCCCGCCCCACAGAACTGCATTTCAAAATGTAAGGAGACTAGTTTGTTGGACAAGCGCAGACAGCAGATGTGGGTGATGGAGAAGGGAAAATAGAAGGGGCCGTAACAGGGTGGAAGTCATGTCATTTCCAGAATCTCAAGGTGAACCTGAACCTACTCCTAGGAGAGAATCAGTCCTCATTATCCCTCCATTCTGCTCCCATTTTTCTTCTCCGTAAACAATGTAAAGACCAACATGTTAATTTGACATTTGAGTCTCAGTAGGAGCACCTTCAGTTGCTTTTTCAGCCTCCCAATCTGCAGCGACATCGTCCTGATAAGAAGTGCTCCACTGAGGACTATATTGAGTTTGACGGCATGCATAGGTCTAACCATATGTAGCCTAACCCAGATTTTATCCCGGCGCTGTCAGAGCATACGCTACATATGCTTAGGGAACCGCACAAATAATTACACACACACACGCACATGCACACCGACACATGCATGAAGAGCTACGCCTAGCTGTGTAGAGGATGGGGACTGAATGCTAATTTCATGTTTTGCTGTAATCCTCTGATATTGACACTCCTGGGAGCTGCTCCACTAAATACAAAATAATCTATTGCTGTATGGATCCCATTCCAAATGCATGGCCAACATGCTCGCATCCTTAATGTTTAATTTTGAATTTTCCTCACTCCCTTCCCCCCCGAAGACAACTTCAAAGAGGCGCTAGCCGCTCTTGATATGTTGCATCAATATTGTAATGTGGCAGGAATATGAGAACTGCTGGTTGGATGAGATAGGAGAGTCATGCCATTCTCTGTCTGCCTCTCACTCTCACTCGGAGATGCTTTAGGAGATGACAGTTGGTATTGTACATCGACACCCCCCCCCCCCCCCCCCAAAACCACCTCGGAGGTAGACATTCATGCTGTGAAGGCTACCGTTAATAATCATTTTTGTAATTGTCTTTGTCTGGAGTTTCCAGGACAGGTGTACTTGTTGTGTTTGTTCTTCCTTTATTTACACACAAAAGGGGAACTACATGACAACACTTATGTTGATGTATGAAAATGAGCTTTGTCATTTACGGGAAGAGAATAGGTAATCTGTTATCCGTTTTATTTAACAGTCTTTGCAGCAGCCCTTGTTTATATGGCTGCAGAGGAGATTGTGGCTGTGCCCCAGACTCCACTTCACTTGGCAATGCTTCAGTATTTTGCAGTATATTTGTGAATAATTTAATGACTCTTTATATGTTTTTCTTTTTTTCCTGCCAACTCTCTTGGGGTGGGTGTAGGGAAATGCAGAAACTCCCCTCCCATGAGAGTTAACTTAATGTTTTCTTCCCCCCCCTAATTAAAAGAAACTCCACCAAGCCTGGCTTTGTTTCTCTGCCTCCTAATTTTGAAACATCTGCATCAGTACCCCTGCGTTTAACCCCTTCATCTTAACACAGAGATGAAGCACATGTAGATACGCCTTTTTCTAACCTAACCATACGTTTGTCAGTGAAGCTTCATGTTAAAACACGGGGTGGGTAATGAGGTGTTCTGCTTTAGCCCACATCGATACGAGATGTTTCTTCATCTTTTTGCTTGATTGTGCTGTGAATTATTCCTCCCCTCTGAGGAAAATGTTAATTGACCCCAAAGCCTCGCACATAATAAAACTTATAATGTTAACCCCCCTGACAAATGTAGGCCAACCCTGGCTTTTCTTTTTAACAATTGCAGCAGTTGTGTATGCGAGCTGTAAAAAAAGAACATATTTTCTGGCTTGTACAAGAGCAGGCCGTTATGCAGCAGTTACTGTATAGACACTTGAGATACAGCTGCTTCTATTGCCTCTCCTGTTGTTCGCACAATTTCTCGTGGAAATAAAAATTATTCTCTCTGCTAAAGAAGTAATTTTAAAGGTCCTGAACTCACTTTCTCTGGACAATTGAGATTTTTATCGGGGGGTCATATGAAATATTAAAAATAAATTCACAACTCGCAGTGCCTCAGGGTGAAAATCTGTACTGTGAGCGTTGTTCCTGTTGGCTTCGAGGAAGAAAACCATTGAAAAATCAATTAAATGGGAATGCAAAAGATAAATAATGCAGCCTGGTTGTTGAATTGCTAGCTGCAGCCCCAGAGCCAGCCCAACTGTTCTCTCCTTGATTAGCCTTGCTCAGACCTGAGAAGAAGAAAGCAACACGGCAGGGCGAGCGCTGCCTCAATTCCTGAGCTGAGACTGTGGAGCCTTCATCCTTGGCAACAGCACTCTGACTCAGTACCTGAGGCTGAGGAAGTACAGCTTCAGAAAAGGCTTAGCATTTCACCACCAGCTGCCCTCACCAGCCTCTCATTGAGAAGCAGCCGCAGAGGAGGAAAAGCCAAGCCTCTCTCACTAACAAAGCCCACCCACACGCCGCACAAACAGCTCAAATATATAGAATAATGCTCGAATAACAGCTTGGGCTGATAGATTTTAGCAGAGCAGATTAGACCTCTTATTTCTAAATAATGTTGGAACCAAACATCTGATGCTCGTGTGATTTCGTGTCGTAGAGTAAATGTCCAAGTCCAGTGCAAACACTGAAGGGATGTCGTGTGAAACTAGGGCTGCTCAATTAATCGTATTTTAATCGCAATTACGATTTTGGCTTGCAACGATTATGAAAACAACATAATCGAAATAAAACAATTTATTTTTATTTTATTTTTATTTTTATTTTTTATTGGTTTTTCAGTTGAATTATACTTAAAGTTCAGGGTAATCAACTGTTTAAAACATACTGTTCCCCTTTTTTTTAATTCAATAAATGGATGTTGTCAAAGTAAATGGATAATCGTTTTTCATAATCGTGATATCAATTATTGACCAAAACAATAGTGATTATGATTTTTGCCATAATCGCACAGCCCTATGTGAAATAGCAATATGTTGTGTTTTATCAGCTCACAGGTCTTTTTGTTCTGTCTGCAGGGCTCTTACTGGGCCATTGACACCAACCCGAAGGAGGACGCCTTGCCTACACGGCCAAAGAAGAGGCCGCGGTCTGGAGAGCGGGTGAGTCTGATGAAAGAAACCTCCTGAGGAACCTCTTAATATGCTGCTTCTCTGCTTACGCTTCTGCCTCCATCCCAGTATTTATCTGTGCCTCTGTGTCTCTTCTCCTGCCTCCTTCCTTTTGCCCTCCTTTCTCTCCCACTCTTTCTCTACTACATGCAGACACACACACATGCGTGAACACACACACACACACACACACACACAGACTCAGTAGGAGTTCATATCCAGACTTTATGTAACTGCCTCTCCATGCTGCTTCGCTAGCCTGTCATGAAGTGGGGTCCTTATTAATAAACCATGCCCGAGGCAGCCATTCCATACATTACATTCTGCGCCCACTTTTTTTAACAAACATCAATTAATGCAGAGCTGTGCGCGCCGGCTATTCTGAGCGGGAGCTTTTGTCTTTAATTATGGATGAGGTTCGCCCAGCATTACGTACAGCTGTACAGGTTTTAGTGCGCCGCTCAGATTGACCTGGCCCTGGGGCATCCCAACACGGGGAGCTCTTGTCTCCTCCTTCCCCACAATGTGGCTGACCGGAGGCTACGAGGGAGGGAGGATCCTGTTAGGCTGGCCAAGGCAGACTCATGCACGCACACGCCTAACACACGCCATTGTCTCTAAAAGACACGCACAAGCACGTAGACGACATAAGACTTAGCATGCTGTTCATGTATTGGCCCTACAGCAGCAAAATACTATCACATTCATTCAACAAACTGCGCCTCTTTTGCTTGTGTGAGATGTTTTAGACAACAACGGTAGGGAAAAAGGTGTTTTCAATATGCAGCTACCAACAGTTTCAACTAAAGCCCTTCTGATGCAGTTCTCTTCATTTGAGCATGACACAAAAGAACGCACCAAGTGAAGAGTGTGTGTTCTGTAAGGACACATGCGCTGCGTTCACCCTTCCCCCCCCTCTAGACACTGTCTGCCTGCCTACAAGGCATTCCATTAAGAGTCTCAGACATTGAAATTGAGAGTTTGTGAAATCTCATTTATGTTTATCATGAATTAAGAATGGTATTGTTGGCAGCCAATCCTCTTACAGTAAGCAGTTTTATGAGACAGGCATGGCAGAGTTATCTCTCGCTACAGTGCGCCTATACAGCAAGACAGGGGCATGCATGAGGGTGCGTGTTTGTGTGTGTGTATGTGTGTGTGTTCTGTATTTGTGCTTCGGTGGGAGGTGAGGGTTGGGATGGGGGGGGGTTGTCTCCATCGTCTCAGAAGGCTCAGTTCAAATGTGACCTAAATAAAAGTGTTGCAATAGTTCTGCTAAATATTTTTGTTTTCTGCAGAGGGGCATGTATCATGTCTAGGGTTGCACAATATATCGTTTTGTCATCCTCGCCACAATGTCAACCTGCACATTAAACGCATCATTACAGACTAACATATTAGGGATTTTGTTTTCTACAGATATTTGTTGGGTCTGTGGAAAACTGCACTTTAAAACATAACTGACATTCGTTTTCAGTTGTGCCTTTTGTGTTCAGTGACATATTAATTGGTCAACAAACAAAATTATATATCTTTTTATATTTCAACAAGCATTTTGTCATGTTTATACACTATAACGAAAGCATCAGAATGCCAGAACTTTGTACACTTAAATATTTATCTATAATATTTTTATATTCCCTTTTTTCAAGTAGTTCTGTCTTTGCTTATTATCGCTCATTTTCCACACTGTGCAGCCCTTATCTCGTCCAAGCAACAGATCTGTCACAAACATAATACAGGTCTTTTATTTTTTCATCTGCAGTTGGATTTGGATTGTTTGATAATTAGACCGTGTTGAATTTTTGTTATTTATTTATTTATTTATGTATTTTTTGTCTGCCTCCCAACCCCCACAGGCTTCTACGCCGTACAGCCTGGAGTCGGAGTCTTTGGGGATGGAGTGTATGATCTCTGGAAGTGCCTCTCCAACACTGGCAATCAACACTGTGACTAACAAGGTACTACAGCCAGCCATCCAGCCTCCAGCTCCAACACACACCTGGCTACACGGCTGCACCCTGACCCCACCCACTTCTCCAACCACCTACAGCACTATTCCCCATAGAGAGAGGAGCACTCTAGTGGAGGGGAGATACACACACACACACAAGCACACGCTCATATGCCTAAAGCTTCTCTGCAAAGCATCCCACACCAAAATACACAACTATCTGCACTGCAGCACCTTTTTCCTCTACAACAACAACAACAGGCAGCAGGCTCTTGTTATCTTCAACACGGAAATATGATGCTCACACTGATACTTAGCTCTTTGCAACCTGATAGACCTCACACAGTCCCGTGAAGACTTGCAATAGGATACACCGCACGCTGCATGGGGTTCCTGCGCTCTCACCTGTAGTGGAGGTTAACGCCCAGAGTCGTGTTTCTCATTCTGTGACCACGTTGCGCTGTTACACCACAGGTGACCGTCCCTGCTGCTGGCTCCTTCTGCTCTCTTTTTTTTGTATTAATATATTTAAAAGCTTGGAACCACTTGTACATCACAGAGCAAAGCCACGGGGACTGTTAGCTGTGAGTGTGCCGCTCACTCTGAAATTTAAATAGGCTTTTTAACCTTAAGCTCCCATCCTCTGGGCCCAGTGGGGGCAGCTCTCAGGTGTACTTTTAAAAAGCCTACAAGAGTCGCTTATTCATTTGCTGCGAGCATTAAAAAAAACGATTTAATGTGAACAGGAGTGTTCACAGGAAAGACGAGTTAGTGTGTGTCTGTTTGACAGGGGCTCCAAAGTCTGAGCATATGTCGGTGTGTGTTATAACTTGTGTGTACATGTACATAGAGTATGTTACCGGGGGTTTCAGCTTGTTTTGACGAGCGCGTCAGTGACGATTAGCTCGAGGCTGCTTCTACAGAGAACATGCAGTTTTTCATGTTTCTGTCGCAGAAAGATTCATGGGCCTAAGTGTGGGGAAAGATGACCCCTTTTCCTCTGTGATTACTACAAACAATCACTTGCTACAAGCACCAGTCTCTCCACCAGCATGAGTGCATAATGAGGCCCTAACATACAGAGCTGACAGATTAAAGTTTGGACTCCTGCCATCAAATACCTCCAGTCAAATAACTCATAAGTGCAACCAGCAGAAAACATTTAAATAGCATAGATCATGACTTCCGTGGGATTCCTAGAGATGATGAATGAAGCGTTGTGTCTTTTTGTTCACTTGATAGTGACACAAACTTTAACAATGGTGAAATGAACAGAAGACAAAGTGGAATAGCAACAGATCTGAGGCCTTAACTCCTCGGAGGGAGCTTGTTTCTCACTGTCTTACACTGTAAACACACGACAGGCCACGCCTCTTTCGGTGCAGTGTGCCAAGCCACAGGAATTCCCTTTCTGGTTTTCTCTCCCCTTCTATTCCAGTCTCTCTCCCTCATTCCCGCCTTCTCAGATAGACCAATGGGAGACGCTGTCAGGACGAGTTTTGAACCAGCAGGAATCTCTTTCTTTCTCGTCTGTCGGACATTCCTCACAATTGCCCCCCCCCCCCTCTTCTTCGTGTGCCTTTCTCATATAGACTAAGATTTTACTCCCCCAACCCCCAAAGGTTGTATTCCGGGGCAGCCCTAAACATTGGCGTGAATATGATGAAACTCTGACACTGAGGTGTGATGATGGATGTAGAGAGGGGATTGTTGGAAGTGTGTTTGCTGATGAATAGTCTGGCTCCCCCCCCCCCTCTTTCCCTACCCTCTTCCTCTGCCTCTCCCTGTCTGTTCAATCCTGCATGCAGGGATTGTGCTGAACACTAGCTGGCATTGTTGGAGACACCTGGGCCAATCTTGCTTTGATTTCATAATCCATGTCTCATGCTCCAGATTAGGCCCCCATGTAAAAGACTCCTCTGGCTTTTTACTTAATTCACTGCTAAGAATAGATCCTGACTCGCTTGCCTGCTAGCTCACAGCGTACACAGTATTTACCGCGGAGCCGCTCCTGCCTGTATGAGCATGCCTGCCTCTGTCTGAGTGTTTTTCTGTGTGTGTGTGTGTTACCCTACCTTAGTGTACATCTGTAGCTGTACAAATGTGTGTCATGTGTTTGTGCATGCTTCTCCGTATGTGGGTGAGATGCGACTGGGTGTTCATCTGTGTCTTCACTCGGGGGACTCTGGGGTCTGCGTAAACCACAGAGCAGCGAGGTTTAGAAATCATCACACTTTATGGGTGAGTAGAGTAAAAATAGATTGCGGTGAGAGACTTAAGGCTAAAAGCCTGTTTTATGACTTCATTACACATAACATTTATATTTCTGTGGCGCGCTGTTTTTGATTAGCATTGTCGTGCTGATTTTGTAGATGTGCTTAAGCCTTCAGTCTTAGCTGCTCATTGAGTTCCCCTTCACACTAATGAACGCTGGAGCCAAGCCCACACTGAGTGGAGAAAGGCTAGAGTTGCCTAATGAGCTTCTCTTACTACCCCCCCATTCTCCTCTCCCTCAGCCCGACCCCTCTTCCTCGTACAGCGTTGTTTGGATTCAGAATTTGCGTCTCTGCTTTTAAATGCAGTCGTTATTATCTCATTGTTGCAGCTCAGGAGCTTTATATTAAAAGCTTAACAACATTATAGGACCCTCTCACCCTGCGTGTGTACGTCCGGGAGTTGTACCAGCATGTTAGCGAGCGGGCCAATCAGTCAGAGGAGAGGAGGCAGTGAGAGTTTCCTTCCCTCCTTGTGCGCCTCAGCAGAAAGACAAGAGGCTTCAGTCCACTGCTGCCGCTGAGAGGCAGGGGCCCGGCCAATCTGCTTGCCTGAAGGCTGCTGCCACTGCTGTCTCATTGTGCTGAGCACAGAGCCCACTCTGTTCTACTCACAGTGATGAGCAGGAACCACCACGCTGCCCTCATGTCATGGACGGACACACACAAACGCTCGCACACACACCAGTGTTCGAATGCCAGGCCCCTCTTCCACTGCAGCACCACCATCAGTGCATTACTGCCATTCCTTTCTCACAATAAAAAGCTCATCACATGGACAATTCTCTGCGGGTATCATTATATTCATTATCTGGATCGTTCTTCTTACTATTGTTATAATTGTCTGACGGCGCACTTTATTTGGGAAGGGTGGGAGGGCCAAACCTTGTTAGACGATCATTAAGATTGTCGTCCTGAAGTGCTTCGGCTAGTTTCCCGGCCTCATTGAAAGGTCAGTGTTGTCCCAAATGGAATTGCGCTTGGTGAGCAGATGTGGTCGACATCGCCAGTAGTGTGACCTTTTAGTGATAGGAATGTCTCAGTTGTCTCCAGACCCATTCACACGTTCAGCATGAAGCCCTTAGTGGCTGTGGTGGGTGTTCAGCTCTGCAGCACCCTGCGTCTCCCACACACACACTCTCTCAATAAAGTGAAGAGCAAGTACTCTGCTATTATGACATGTCATTGCATGCAGCACACACACACACACACACACACGCTCAGGCTTTACATTTCCATAATAAATTATATTGTTTAACTATAGACCAAAATTAACTCAGAGGAATGTGGTGTGTGTGTGTGTGTGTGTGTGTGTGTGTGTGTGTGTGTGTGTGTGTGTGTGTGTGTGTGTGTGTGTGTGTGTGTGTGTGTGTGTGTGTGTGTGTGTGTGTGTGTGTGTGTGTGTGTGTGTGTGTGTGTGTGTGTGTGTGTGTGTGTGTGTGTGTGTGTGTGTGGTGTGTGTGTGGTGTGTGTGTGTGTGTGTGTGTGTGTGTGTGTGTGTGTGTGTGTGTGTGTGTGTGTGTGTGTGTGTGTGTGTGTGTGTGTGTGTGTGTGTGTGTGTGTGTGTGTGGGGCTTAGCCTGCTATCATGGTGGAAAATAGAGGAGATTAAAGTGTAAGAAAGATTAGAATCATTTATTTATCTGGACCATGGGGGTACCTTATAACTTTGTTAGATTTTCATTTTGTTTTTCTCTAAAAAAATATTTTTGCTCAAAATAGATGTGTCCTTTCTGTGGTTAACTTAAGAGTCTTGAGCATGTTTAAAACAATTTTGCACAATTATTTTGGCCATAATTAATATGACAAATGGTCACATCGTTCCTATGTGTGTGTCGGAGATAATAATCTGATGTACATGAATGTGTTTCAGGTGGCGTTGTACAACACAGACCAGGAAGGGAGCGATAGTCCAAGAAGCAGCCTTAACAACAGCCTGTCGGATCAGAGTCTGGCCTCCGTCAATCTCAACAGTGTGGGCAGCGTGCACAGCTATACACCGGTAAGACCGCTCTGCACAGCTCATCAATCTACATTTTGCATTCGTTCTGTTGCCTTGCTGTTCCTTAAAGGTCATTTTCCCTGTCGATGTCGCAGCTCCTAAATGTCTCTTAGTTGGATAGTAGGAACAAGATATTTCTATAAATCTGCTGAAGTTTGGCACAAAGCTACATTGATGCCAGATGATACATCCTCATGCTATCCGCATTTTTTAAGCCTGGAAAGGAGCAACAGTCACTAAATGAATAAAAACTAAACACCGCCAGACATAGAATGTGTACTGTTTCCCTTATTTCCTCTGATCCGAAATCCTCCAGAGGTTTTTCTTCAGAGGAGGCAGCCGTAGCCAGCAATAGACCGAGGTTCAAGGTGGACATGCGCTGGAGTACAACATCAGGAAGGGGGTTAAGGGAAACAGAGAAAATGTGCACGCTCCTGGAAGCCAGACAAAGAAAAGCGCTTCCTCTGATGTCCTCCCACCAGAGATGCCCCCTCTTTGGTGTGGTCCTCCTGCATCCTAGAGTGCTCCCTGCTCCAGGCGCTGGGCATCGATCGGCTCAGCCTGATGGATGTGCTCTCTCTCTCTCTCTCTCTCTCTCTCTCAGCAGCTCACAGTAAACACTCTGGCTTTATTATCACCTCTTCACTCTTACCCGAGCCAGACTGCGAGCCGTGCACTTCAGCAGACTGCCCACATCTCGGACGAGGAAGATGTTATGTGATCAAATATTGGACGTGACCTCTCTTGTAATGCTAGCCCCGCAGTTGTCAGGTCCTGCTTTGTAAGAACAGCCATGGTTTTGCATCAATGCCTCTTGCTCCGATAAATCTCGTAGACAAACTTGCTGCTGGGGGGAGCGCTGCTTGCCGCCTCACATCTCGGGGCAGTGCATAACATTGACTGCCCACACAGAGACGTGGATAAAATGCTTGCTTATTTGTACACGGTATTGCTATTGATTTTGTTTTGAATACATTTCGCTTGGCCACCAGAGTATTGGGATTGTGTCCATTTGAGTTGGTCTCTTAATGCTGTGTGAGCCAAGGTGGTTAAGCACTGACCTATATTGTTGTGGTCGGCCTGATTGTTCTTTACATGCTGTGTGAGTGACACCTCCTCAAACTGGAACAACAGTATTACAGTGCCATCGTCATATTGAGCTCATACATTTACATAAACCACAAACTTTGCTTTAAGTATTCTAGAGACTTTCTCTCTTTGCGGCTCCATAACCATATGAGCATTGCGGGTATCTTTTGAAAAGTATGTATATTATTAATGTGTATGTTTGAACATTATAGTGCGCTCCTCTTAGCCTCAGTAGTCCCTGTGGACTGTGTGTAGCAGAACTGAGGCCAGTGTACTTCCACAGAAATCTATCCAAGATTAAACATTAAACATAATCTGCTCTCCTTGTAGCCGTTTGCTTCTGTAAATCTTTTTAAGATTTTTATTTTTTTTATTTGCATTTTTAAGATATTATTCACAAAGCATACATAACAAAAATAAACACATCTAGGTACATAAATTAACTACATAACAGTTGACAAATCCAAAATGCAATAATAATAATAGTAATAATAATAATACAAATAAAAGAATGGATACAATATTAATACATGAATTGATCACAAAAATAACAATTATTTTCGTTATGGATTAATCTACAGATTATTTGAAAGTTGTTTGTTTTACCCTCGATTTACGTATCAAAGGAAAAGGCAAGAATAAACTTGAAATGAAGGCAGCCCATGAGGTCAAATCTTACCTCATGTTCCTTACAAGTCTTCATTATAGTGTTCGATACTTTACCTATGTTCCCCAAAGATATGCATCTGCTTCTGTTAATCTTAAACTCTCTTTCTCTCCTCATCTCTCCAGGTGACCACTCACCCAGAGCCCGTGTCCCAGGCCATGAGCCTGCAGCAGCCCCCCCAGTCCCAGTACAACATGCCAGACAGGGACAAGCAGCTCCTGTTCTCCGAATTTGAAGATCTCAGTGCCTCTTTCCGCAGCCTTTACAAGTCTGTTTTTGAGCAGTCCTTCAGCCAACAAGGTGAGTGGCCTCCCAGGACCATCGAGTGGAAATCTAATAAAGAGCCTAAGCTTTATTTATAAAGGAACGGGATGATTCTCTCAACGATTTTCCTAATGTTGGTTTGTTCTTAAGAGCCAGGGCTATAGAGAGTCTTTAGGCACTAATTAGGTTTACAGAGAAACGAGCAGGTATTCAACAGGCTGACTAGCCTATAGTGCAAATCTATACGGAGCATTTTCATGCTCTTCTGCCAGAGTAATGTGGAAAAGGTCTAATTTCATATTCAAAATAAGAATCTGAGAGTTCATGTCTTAAATATTTCATTAGGGGATGTAAACAGATGTTACTGCTTTCATTTGACGGTTAATACAGAATTGATACTCTATCCTTCTTGCTTTTATGTTTTTCAAATTTATATGAAAGTTGTCTGCATGTTGTTTTAGACGTCTTCTCATGTAGGCTGTGTTTCATCAGAGGGGAGGAGGAGTTTGCACACAAATCTGTTGGATATGAGGTTCATGTTTCATAATGATAGGGAATTTGTTATGATATAATATATACTAGCGGATAGCGCACAGCTTTCCAAAAGCTTGTGAATCCCTGCTGAACAAAATGCATTTTTGCTTGTAATCTGATTGACTGATAAACAAAGAGCACTTGACAAGCGGGTTAGGAGCAAAGTATACTGAGCTTTCTGTGCATAACCTACTTTCACAAATCAAATGCATTTCATGCTAATGTTTTCAAAGAGTTCCTCTCCTTTAATCTATCATCTATGTTTCATTAGTTCAAAGTTGTTACCTTTTTTTTATGCGCATAAAAGTGAAATCTCTTAGTCAGACAAGCTCTAGCAATTAAAAAGCGTAAATAATCGAGCTAGAGGATTTCACACTCTGCCGCTGTAGACAGTGAGCTAATTCACTGGCTTTGATAATAGGTAATGAGCTCGCATTATTATTCTGGTGCCGCGTTAATTGCTTTCTGTATTTCCCTGGTTGGACAATGGGCTTTCTGCGCCGATAAGAGATGCACCTTTGTCACCCCTGCAGTGAGTGTTACGTGCCGATTGTGGAGGTTCAGGGCTAGAGTCAGCTCTAAAAGCACTCCAGTGAAATAGGTTTACCGTGCCAAAGCTGTGAAGGACAGGGCCTCTTAAGACCACTCCCTGCCACTCAGATGATTGCAGTTGTGTGTGCAGATGTTCATGCCCCAGTCATGTTTGTGCCGCGGCACCGTGAATTTGTCAAAGGCAAATCCCGAGCTGTGTATCTGGAGAGGAGAGCGACGGTGAACCTCAGAGACACTGCTGATGCTGAGTCATTCCCTGAAGCAACAAAATGGCAGCTGGTCTGTCTCAAGTGTAGAACTACTTAAACACAGGAGACCCAGATCCCATTATTGTAAGATGTAAAGATGTATTTAAGTCGCTGTTTTTACATGTGACAACCGTGGCTCTCTTTGTGCTCAAGTTCGTTATACTAAAACACGTTGGTCTGAAACCATTTTCAGTGACATTTGTGTTGGAATCAATCGTCTCAATTCACCGGTGAAGGCTTTTACCAAAAATATTTGAATTGTCATGTTTCTTTATCAATGATTTATAGGTGATTTCTGCAAATATATTCCATTTACAATGATAAGAAACATCATATCCTCACAATTGAGTAGCTTGAACTAGCAAGTGATGGCATTTTTAACTGATAAGTTGACTTGAATTTTCAGGTGAATTATTAATTTGTTCCAGCTTCCTCAGTGTGACAATGTTCTGATTTGTTTCTGTTTTATTTAATTGTAAAATGGATTGCCTTTTTTTATCCTTTTCTAAGATTTATTTTGATAAAGCAAGTTTTTGATATATTGGAAAAATTAATATTCAATATGAATGAATAGTGAAACATTAGAAGCAGGGATTAAAGGGTTACCTCTCAGGATAAACAAGGGTACAATTACAGTAAGTGAAGTAGATACGACTGTTTTAAATGTGCATTTTCATTCAAACTGAGTTTTGACTTGCCATGTGTACACATCTTCTTTTTAAAATGTCTTCAGCAAATGTGTACAATACCCTGATTATACTGATAACCATGATAATGTTGGTCAATATGACTGTGAGGAACCACTTTGTTACCGTTTCATCACTATTTAATGGCAGACAGATCCATTATCAGGATTGTTGCGAGTGAACATAATTGTCTGTCATGGACTTCTTGCAGCAGCACACTAAGCAGCCCTTTGTTGTTGTGCTTTGTCTCCAGGTCTGATGGGCATACAGTCCGATTCCTCCCAGCAGACCCACACCTCCTGCTCCTATCAGCACTCCCCCGGCGGCAACATTAGCACTCAGAACAGCCTCTCAAACAACCAACCCAACAACAGCCACTCTGCCAACAGTGGCCAGGTGCCCCTGTCCCACCCTGCCCAGGCCCACCCTGGCCACGGCTCGCCCCACGCACAGCACCTCCCGCAGCACGGCGGCCCCCACACCCAACACAGCCAACACGCCCAGCACAGCCAACACAGTCAGCTCCCCCAGCACCCCCAGCACGCTGCGCACTCCCAGCACGGGCAGCACCCATCGCAGCACCCGTCCCACGGCCAGCACCCACAGCAACACACGCCACACCCCTCCCAACACACGCAGCACAGCCAGCACCCACCGCAGCACGGGCAGCAGCACCCGAGCCTCTCCCTCCAGCCCCATCCTACCCAGCAACAGATGGCCTGCAACCCAGGTAAGACCCTCCGTCCGTCTGCGTCTACTCGCTCCTCATCATGTTCATCTCACTCGTCAACACGTTTAGAGCTCGTTTTGTATACATTTTTTTGTAATAAAGCATTTAGAAATTGTTGTAGGTGGTAGACAGTAAATCATCATCTGATTTATTATCTGTGCTGCTGTGAGAACAAAGCAATGCTGCATCCAGCGACTCCAGCAGCTCTTTCAGAGTCGACTGGCGCCTCCTAGTGGCCGCAGCACACAGCTCATCTGTTTTAAAGCCGTGGTAAAATGTTTTATTTGGTGCTACCTTCTCATTCATTTGGTGCTACGTCTGGCTGCACAGCTGTAAAAATGTGACTTCAATGAAAATGCATCATCTGGCATTATTAGCTAACCCACAGTCAATAACAATTACAGCAGCAATTATTGTGCAGTTGTCCATAAAAGATGTACTGAGGACTAAATCTGTATTTGTCCCAGGAGTAAACTTGGTGCTGGAACCCAAATGACTTGTTTCCACCAAGTCTTGTATCTTGAAATGTTACAGATAGTTTGCTGTGTGTGTTGCAGGTTTACTGTCTGACTGGTACCCAAATCTGGATGCACTGAAAGAAAGCTGTCGTATTGCTAGCAGCTATAACTGGGCTGATGTCGACCTTTCACCTTTCCAAGGTGCGGTTTGGACACAACAAATAAACCTTACTGCATTTACAAATACTAAACACACATTGGACATGTAATGTATTTGATTTAATTGTAGGAGATTAAGATTTTTCTAGATTAAAGAAAGAAGAAAACATTAAAAGCCGGGAGCTGATAGTACAGTTCTGCCCCGGCTTTTGATTGAGTGCTGAAGTGTTGACACTGTGGAGTTGATTACGAGTTTAATTAAACTGAGCTCTTCAATTAAATAACACTGCCTTCAAGTTTAATTACCAAAACACCGAGCTCAGCAGCTCAGCAGGTCAGTTTATCCAATTACAGTCTAGGATTGCAAGGTAGGATGTTTTTTAAATATCACCCACTGAAGGTTACTGACATAATGAATATATATTGCAACCAAAGTTTTTGCTTTGTGTTTGTTAATTAGTTTCTCATTTACTATATTTATATTCTAGTCAGTTGGCTGGTGCAGTTTCACACATTTCATTGTCACTAATGCATTTTAGAGCAGATACTGTCACTAGATCTGGTATTAACTTTGATTGTTCTCTTCTATAATTGTGTGTTTTATGCTCTGAAGGGTTGAGAGATAGTATGAGACAAGCGGAGTTGAACAATTGGTCCCTGGAGCCCACCCAGATCGCCGACCTCTGCTCGTCCATCAACCAGTTCTTTGCCCGCACCGGTGTAATCCAGCCACAGGGGGCAGTGCAGCCTCCTGTCTGTCACGGCTCCATGCACCCCAACAAACCCAGCCAGCACCTCAACACAGGTCAAACACACACTCCAACACACACTCCAACACACACTCCAACACCTTACCAACTTATTAATGTGCTCTGTAGTTGTTGGCTGTGGCTGTTTTGATATGAGGAGGTTTTCTTATGTGATTTATTATAATCTTGTTGAGAAAGCACCTTTTATCTGGTTTTGTTTTCTGGTAAAAATATATGCTGTAATTGTTCAGTACTATGAGGTATTTCTTTATTATCTGTAAGGGTATTTTCATACTAAACTCTAAGTCTGAAAAAGTCAGTATAAGTTAACCAAGAGCCTTTAGCCTTAAGAATGTATCTCGCCTACATTTCCTTATATCAGAAAGTGCAAACAGTCTGGAGACGTTGTGCAAACAGTGAGCTCTGCTCGCCCTTCATGCTAGCGATCTGCAACCTTTTTGGTCCCTTGAAACCAAATAGGGTCTGCTTGCGTCGCCTCATCAACAGCTGCATATGTCTATAGTTCACCCCAACAATGATTACACAGAGAGAAACACAGTTCTTTAGCTGCTGTATTAGGCTTTCTTTTGTACACGTTACTTGCAAATTCTAAACATTAGTTACAAAGATCCCTTTTTTGAAGTGGTATTATTATAATATCAACTGATTTCAAGTGTCAAACAATACCAAGTATTTATAGACCATGATGTTTTTTGTGTGGGTAGTAGCTATAATCTGAGCTAATGCAGAGTTCCTTCTGTAAAATGACGCTGCAGGGCCTCACCCTGAAACTAGTTTGGTTTTTTGCTTGACATCAAATTTCGAATTCTATCTTCAGGAAATATCTACATGGACACCAGACAGAGCATGTCCATGATGGGTCCTCCAGGATATCCCCACATGACCCCTATGAGCGGCACAGGACCCGCAATGACAGGTGACATGAAGCCACCGAGAAAATAATAACTAGCTCTTGCTATTAGCCTTTGATTTACTGTTTTATTGATCAACTGGGCCGATCTGACTCTCCCCTCCCCCCCCCCCTCTCTCTCTCTGCAGGACACCATGCACAGATGAACCAGCAGCACATGATACCTACCAGAAACTTCCAGATGCATCGCATGCCAGCTGATGACATCCAGGACGACTTTGATTGGGACTCCATCGTTTAGCCCCTTAAAATCTCCTTTCTGCAAAACAAAAGGGAGCGAGGAGAGGAGTTGGAGGCCAGAGGAAGCCAGGCTGAGCTGAGAGGCCGCAGGAGGAGGAGGAGGAGGAGGAGGAAGAGGAGGCCGCTGTGGGTGGGAGGCAGAAGAACGTTTGACAAGCTTAAGAGACAGACAGACTTCACAGCCCTGACATTTCTACAAAAAGCAAAACATACCTAGAAAAAGTTACTTTGAAGACAATCATATTCAGTTGGACATGTTAAAGTGCTTGTGTACTTGTCTAGAGACGAGTAGAACACATTGACGTCTAAACCACTCGCTCCTCAGCTCCTCAGCCGGCCCTCCCCCCGTCCCTCGCCAGCAGCCTTCCAAAGTCCGAACCCCTCTCCCCCCCCGACCCCCTGCTCCGTAACTGTTATGTGATTTGAGCGACGTGTTCAGCTTGTAATTCTTCTCGTGTTGACATTGGCCTCCGCTGCCTCTTGGATGAGTTTATCTCTCTTTTATCTTTTAAAAACAATTTGGTTTTGTTTCTTTTGTTTTGAAGAAACACAGGCCGTCTCTGTGAGTAATGTGATGGTCACGTTTGGGAGAAAGTGGGCCCCACTGTGGCTGAGTTGGTGGAAAAGTGAGGTTTACAATAACTTTGAACAGGGTGTTAAATGTTTAAGCAGGCTTGATATTATACAAACCGAGAGAGGAGGTGAGAGGGAGATCACAGAAAGTATGGTGATCTGTTTTCAAAGCCAACCATCGTGATCAGGCTCACTGCAACAGACCAGTGATGGGGAGTACAACAGCTTTTTCTTTTTTGAACTTGTTCTCTGTCTCAAGCACTTCAAGACGCGTGAGAATGATGAGTGAGAAGGTGAAGCAGGGAAGTCAAATATCTCTAGTCTTTTTTAATTCACTCCACCCAAAGTAACATGTCGGGTCTCTGTGTGCATCGTGTCGGAAAATAATTGCTTTACCTATCAGAAACTGTTTTAACGTGAAACAAATTCCCGTTTTTATGGTGAAGTTGACTTTAAGGTGACTATTCTATTGATCATTACACAAGCCACCATCGTTCAGAGACAATGAAAAGTCGATTTGGACGTATTGGTAATGCTAACATCATCCGCTTATCACAAATACATCGATATTAGCATTTATGTCTGCTAATAAGTACAAGTTGGTTTTCAAACAGTTTGCACCGCTCAGCATGTATCATGGCGACAGTTTCAGAGACACTTTAATGTTAAAAAACTTAACAACGGCCAATATATCATTATGTTATTATGTATCATAGTAAACATATAGTAATTTGGGGAGTAATATGACAAGATTGTTTGGTAGATACACTTCTCAGGATGAAACGGCTGAACTGGCTCTGACTGAAGCTAACAAAGTCTGCCTCTAAAGCTCACTCACAAACACATTATATCTCCAAAAACTGAACGGTTTGACGTTTACAGGGGGGGGGGGGAAATGTGCTGGACTATATTTCAGATGGTTGCTATGACTCCCTGGAGATATAATGTGGTCATTTCTTAACTTTAAAGGTTCTGGTTGGCTGATTCTGCGTTAGCGCTAGACAGAGCCATGCTAGCTGCTTCTCTGTCCTGTTCCTCCAGAAGTGAGATTGGTTTAGAGCTAATCTTCTAACTCTACCCAAGAAAGCGTATAAACATAATTTCTATAATGCCAAACTATTCGTTTAAACAATTGTGTAAAATTGTATGCGACCCATGTTATAATTGTTTTAACTAGTGAGAGAAACAAGGAAAAGTAATGAGCCTGAATGCAATTTTTAGAGTTCTGTTTTCCAGCCTTGCCGATTTGAAACATTGCTAGTGGACAAATAAAATGTGTTTGTATAAAGACTAATGAAGGGTGGTGAAGCTTCTTAAACGTGCCATTACTGGATTGGTTAATGATCAATAGGATATGCATCAAATGGTGTTTCCATTTGAAAAAGGTAAAAAACAAAAAAAACATTATTTACCGAACTCTCCTTTTTTAATAAATGAAATCCAAATCCACCTATCGCACATCAAAGCGATATTTCGATGCTACACGTGTTCATTGTCACTCCTGACATTCAAATGACAGAGATAAGAATCTTTCAACTGCCCTGTGTTTTGTTGTGATGGTTCGATAGCGTCAGAATTTGCTATTATACAATCATAACAGAATGAGAAATGTGACTCATACAATGTGTGTGTGCGTGTGTGTGTGTGTGTGCGCGTGTGTGTTGGTTGAACATATGGTGTGTGTGGGTGTTTTGGTTTTATTGTCATTTTAGGGCTATGATTGATTGCTGCAATCATCTCTATGCTATCTACGAGCACAAAAGCAGATGCACACAGTGATTAAAGAATAGATTTCAGACATGTTTTTTTTTTTTTGTGGGAAGGGTTTCCAAAGCACAGAACAGGGAGATCCGCGGTTCTGGAAACCTGTCCTCTGCGTCCTGAAACAAGTGGCTCCTCAATCAGACAGGTGCTGAACCTTAGAGACACTATGTTAAAAAGAGCCCTTTGCACACTTACACTTTCTGTTGATCCGTTTCTAAGATGCAAAGCACCTCCTGGATCTCAAAGCTATCTGACCCTACAGTTGACAATAAACAGGATTGTTCCTGCTCTATTCTATACTGGTAAACTATGTACAGTGTGGTGCTTTGCATCTACTACACTGTGTCCTTATCGAAAGGATTAGTTTCACATTCTGGGATGTTTTTTGAAGCTCCAGCCGGCAGACTGTCAGCATTAGAACTGGAAACGTTGGGAAATGAGCTAGTGTGACTATAGGTAGCGAAATATGCCTGCAACCTCACCAAAAGTATTTACTTAACACGTATTATCTCATGTGTTTATCTGTTTGAAAAAGACAAAACAAAAACTTTTTACAGTAGGTTATGTGTTGGACTATTTAATGTCCATTTGCAGTAACTTCCTGGAGTTGTAAAATGTTAATTACTGAGCTTTCGAGGTGCTGGTGAGTAGATTCTGGCTGGCTGTTCCCTCTGTTTCCAGATTTTAAGCTAAGCTAAGCTAACTGTCTGCTGTTTGTAGCTTCATATTCTAAATACAGACATCAGTGCGGTTTTCCCATATTTACCAAAATGTCTAACTATTCCTATAAAGATAATTTCCCAACTAGGGACTCCAGCAACAACGTTTAGGTTTTTATTTCATATTTTGAATGACAATCATGGATTCTTTTTCTATGATATTACACAATGTCTTTGTTATTGTGAGAAAAGGCATGTTCAAATCTCACACGGTTGTTTTATTGGATATTATAGAACCAGATGTTTTTACATTTGAACACAGAAGGTTATTTGAAACTCGAACCAGCCCAGTTTTATATTGTCGGTCTTCTGTTAAACTGTCCACAGCTGCACTGTGCGGATGAAGTCAAGTTCTCTTCTTTCAACTGATGATACTGCCATTCATTTTTATATTTTCCTGCCAATCATACAGTGACTGTCCACTCCTGCTACTTTCTGCTCCGTTTTGTCTGTCTTTGTATATCAAATGTCCGCCTGTGGATCTCAACTATGAGTTTTGTTCAACTGCCAGAATTTCCTCATTAGTGCTCAGACAAAATACGTCAGTCCGTTAAATGACCCAAATCATAGCTCCTTTAGTCGAGTGGGGGGGCCAATCGACTGCCACTGAAGACAGCCGTGAAAAAACATCAATGTGTTTTCATTAGGACTCTTTGGACCGACAGTAGAGAGCGTCCTGTGAGTCCTTGGTTGGTGTGAAGTGTGTTTCAGTTCTTCCAGGTGAAGATTGTGAAAATGCACAGAAGCTACTGTTTGAGCACAGCAGCACATTGGGAAAACAAAAAATATTTTAGTGAACGGATGTGGCTAAAAGGGAAAAAGGTGAAGACAATGACTGGATCACAATCACAATGTTATGTGTGTGTGTGTGTGTGTGCGTGTGTGTGTGTGTGCTTGTGTGAGATTTAGTTGTTTTTCAAAAGACAATTTAAGTTTTTAAAAACCGCTGGACATGTACCTGCCAGAGAGATTACAATTATTGGGAAAAAAAGATTAAAAGATAAAAAAGCCTCGTCACGATATGGGAGAGAACTGCCAACAAGTACTGCTGATTGGGGCCTATTTTATTCAGTGCTGGTGTGTTGTTGTGCTTGTACATATATGTCTTTTCAATCATCCCTTTTTTCCTCTCGGGGGTGGGGTATCAAGGCTGGGGGTGGGTCTTATTCATGAAAGACAGGAGCGAAAAGAATAGAGTATTTTGTTATTGTCCAATCAGAGGGTGACAGTATGTATATATCTATATTGTATATATGTGATGAAAATGCGTTGGCTTTTTGTGTGACACTACCTTTTACCTGTACTATGGTTCTACATTCAGTGTTTCAGTGTTGATAATATATATTTGGTTTGTGTTTTATTTTTCTGTTTGTTTGATTTTGTCTCTGTCATTTCTTGTATTTTTTTCTCCTATTTTTGTTTATTGCACGGTTTATTACTTTTGTTGTCCAATGAGATGACACAGCTACTCTCTGTATTTGTTAAGTGCTGTAAAATAACTCAAGTGTTATTAGAATTGTCGATACCACCGCCCACCCCACCCCCTTCCCCAATATGCATGAATGGCACTTAAAGAAATAAAATATGGTAACTTCACTGTGGAATAATGTGCTGTTTGAGCTTTGTTCCTGAAGACTGCCATCAGTAGAACATGGCAGGAAGATGTTTCAGTCTCACATCATTGGCAGATTTGAGGAAAGGAAAAAAATGCACTCGGAACGGATAAAAGATCACTCCCTATGCTACAGTATAAGAGCATTTGTACATTGCCCAAAGGACATGCTTATACATCTTTATAAAGATGCAAAAACTAGTAAATGTGTTTAAACATGCATGCATTTCCAGGCATTTCTTATGATTAAAGTCAATATTTCTTTGCCAATTTTTGGCAATCAAAATCTTAAAGTAACCGTTTTTGAGAAACTGTAAGAGAGCTTTTCTTACAAACATACAGTATCTGCTTATTCTTGTCTGTTGTCCTACTTGTGAGGTACAGTCTTCATTATAACAATGATACTCATCAGGTCGAAGCTGAACTGTTGGTAAGCAGCTAATATTATCCTATAATAATAGATAAACCATGCCTACCAGCTAGAAAACCTACCAACGTATTAGCATTCCTAAATGATCCCTGAGTACAACCACCGAGTACAACTTCATTACGAGCTTCATTCCAGTTGATGTGAGGATTAAAAGGTAGTATGTCCTTTATCCCAACTGTACCAAATAATACTTCATGTACTATGAGTGGGTCATTTTGTCTGCCATGTGATATAGTATTCACAGAGCAAATATCTAAAAAGGGACCTATTATGCAAAATGCAGGTTTTGATGTCTTTTATACATAAATATGTGTCCCCGGTGTGTCGGGGAACTCACGCAGCGTAAGCAAATAAAACCCTCTCTCTTTTCCCCCTACCCAAATCTCTAAAAACAGGGGTACAACGGAGCTGATCCAGATTTGCTTCCGATATGACGCAATATCGGAAATGTGGACCTACGGAACTATCAGAAAGTTTCTATCAGAAACAATGCCCGACTGTTTTGGAAGTAATATGGCCTTTGTTTACATTAGCAAGCATACTAACACTCACAGCTAACGCAGTACTGGAGAGAACATATGTGTAAAAAAGCAGGAAATAAAAAAAGGAACTCGCCTTGTGGTAAATCGGTAAGAGAAAAAGCATTTGAGCTCCATACTCTTTCAGAAATAATCCTTGATGTGGTTTGGAATATGATGGCATTTAGTCACGGCAGCATTGAGCTGAATCTGCCGTGTAATTCTGAGCAGGCATTGGCTCCACCACCTCCTCTTTTTTTTTTTTTTTCAAGCTAAGGACCCCGAATCAGCAGTTCTCTAACGGGGCTAAAACAGAGGGATATGAGGGATGTCTAAAATGCATGATCTGTTTGGTATTTTGAGCAAAACACATCATATACATATTTTTTTATATATTTTGATATATCTGAGACCCATAATATATGTCTAAAAATAGCATAATAGGAGACCTTTAATATAAATTCAAACTTTTTTAAATCTTTGAAAAAAGGTTATGTTCCATAACATGGTGTAACTTCATATATCTGTTTCTTAAAGACCTTTTTAAGGTGTTTTAAGAGACATTTTGACCTTATAATCCAGGATTAGAACAGCTGGTGTAGTCATGTGATCATAACTCTCGCATACCCACCCTCAAAGCACCCTCCCCAAATTACCATATGGTGTGTCACTTCACAACATGTGTCCACACTGACACTCTACACGTATACTGCCCCCCTGCAGGATATTCCCTCTCAGTGGGGGCACCGGTCACACTGCTGTGTGGGAGTTAGTGGAAATTGTTTGACTCTAATGAAGGGACTGTGACAAGAAGGACATCATGTTCAAAGCTTCCTCTCTGCTCCTGCTGACCCTGCTCCTAACGGTTCAGCTATGCTCATTAGCACCGATACGTAAGCCATGCTTTTCCTCTAAACTCTGTGACATGACCGAATTCTTAGAAATGAAATGGCTTAAGATCAATGATGTAAAAAAACGATTAGACAACTTACTCTCTGTTAAAATGTAGGATTCTTTAAATTAATCTATATATTGTCTGTACAAAATTGTATAATATCAGGCCAGTGTGTGTGAATTATTATCTTAAGGTTACACATTATTGCAGACTCGGTAAATGTAACTGAATTTTAACTATATAATTCAACAAATTGCTTGAGCTACAGTTCATTAGGTTTGATCATTAATGATAACATGAATGTCTGAATACAACTTCATTCAAAATGTGTTTCATGAGGTAAACCTGTGTTTGCTGTTTTATGATTGGTAGACTATCAGTCAGCAGAATCGAAGACAGGGGAAGGCAAATATGGCTTTCAGTGTTTTCTAGCTATTCATAAAACAAGAAGAAGAATGCAGTCGGGAAAGGACCTCAGTCACCTCAGTCACCTGAGTAAATTGACAATAAAACTCCTGTGCCTTACCGCATTGATGTAATTACCAACCAAACTTCTCAAAATAGTTTAATTGCATTCATGATGACACACCTGCTCCTGTAGGCATGCAACCCTGTGACATATTTGAACTAAACTTGGATCACTACACACCCTCCATGTTGTATATCAGGTCCCTGGAGATGTTTTGAATTGTTACATAATCAGCCATCGTTCAGAGCGTCAATAGTGTACTAGGTTTCCTTTGTGGAAAACCTCTACATGTATTATGTCCAACTGCTACTGTATGGTATCAAAGTGAGCTCAGAGAATTGTCAGGTTTGGGCCTCTTCAGCAATACAAAAGTAAGTTTGGAAAAATCTAAAATGATAAAAATAATTTAAGTATAAAAACGTCCATAAATTAACTTTGAGTTATCAACTAAAACATACGGTGGACAAGACGATATGGGGTATACTGGTTGAGTTGACATACCATACAGTAAAGCTGAATCCTTAGAATATATTTAAGGTTAATGAGGGTCCTCTTTCGATATAATCAGAGAACATAGCTAGGCTGTTGATGCAAGGGGGGAAGCTAAAGCTGTATCTGAGTCTCTATCGTATTTTTCAGCTGCCAAAGATGGTCAGTCTGGACCAGGACCAGAGAAACAAGCACCGGTAACTAAAACACGAACTCACGTAAAAGTGTTGAGAAAAACAGTGAAGAAAGTCATTCCAGTTGCTGTAAAGGTAGCAACTCCAGCTCCTGAGGTTTCACCCATTCAAGAAGACATTCCAGTTATTGCAAAAGAGCCAGAAGCAATATTCATAAAAGACCAGGTCTCTCATGAGCCTTTGGCTAAAGCTCCACAAGACATTTCAGAGGAGAAAGCAGTCCCTGGAGAAGCTGGCTTAGCAGAGGCATCTCCAGAAAAGACCACAGAAGAAGTTGCCCCAGCTGTTGATGTAACGCCACATGTTGAGGATCCGGCCCCAGAAGCACCAATCCTGGTCATTTCTTCCGAAGCTTCAAAAGATGAAGTTCCAGAGGAAAATGTTGAAGAAGAAACTGTTGCTGTTGTGGAAGATGCACCCCCTGAACAGCATGATCTGGAGGACCCCCTTCCAGCAGCACCAATCCCTATTATTCCTGAAGCTACAGAGGAAAATGCAGAAGAAGAAGCTGCTGCAGAAGAACCTGTACTTGTAGTCCCTGATGACAATACTGAAGAAGAACCTGCTGCTCTTCCTGTGACACCAGAAGAAGACAACTCAATTGTCCTTGTCCCTGCAGAGCCAGAGGAGACAGAGGAGGCAGCTCACATGGAACCTGCTGCAGAGGAGCCTCCTGTTATTGTTCACGTGGAGTCCGCTGAACAGGAGCCTGAACAAGATGAAACAGTCTCTGCCATTTCAGAAGAAAACGAAGCTCCAGTTTCCCCGGTAGTCCTGGAAGAAGTTGACCCCGTTACGAATGAAGAACCTCTTTCTACGTCAGAAGAAGATGAAGCAGTTGCTCTCATTCCTGTGGAGCCTGAGACCGAAGAGGAAGTGGAGCCTGCTGCAGAGGACACAGCAGCACAAGAGTCAGCCCCAGAAGAACCTGTTGTCATGGCTCCCGTGGAACCCAGTGAACAAGAGGAAACTGTCTCTGTGATTTCTTTAGAAACAGAAGAAGAACATGCAGAAGAAGACAAAGTAGTTGACCCAGTAGTCTCTGAAGACATCGCTGAAGTGGACCCTGCTACCAACGAAGAAACACTTCCCAGTACATTAGAAGAAGATGAAGCAGTTGACCCAGTAGTCTCTGAAGACATCGCTGAAGTGGACCCTGCTACCAACGAAGAAACACTTCCCAGTACATTAGAAGAAGATGAAGCAGTTGCTCTCGTTCCCGTGGAGCTTGAAACAGAAGAAGAAGCTCAAGTGGAACCTGCAGCCGAGGACACAGCAGCACAAGAGTCCGCCCCAGAGGACCATGTTGTTATTGTTCCTCTGGGACCCAGTGAAGAAGAGGACACTGTCTCTGTCATTTCTCTAGAAACAGAAGAAGACGAAGCAGTAGTCCTTGAAGACACTGCTGAAGAGGACCTTGATGCAAATGGAGAAACACTTCCCAGTACATTAGAAGAAGACGAAGCAGTTGCCCTGGTAGACCTGGAGGAAGATGATGAAGAGGACTCTGCTACAAGTGAAGAAGATCTTCCCAGTGCATTGGAAGAAGAGGAATCTGTTGCCCTCTTTCCTGTTGATCTAGAGACCGAAGAGGAAGAGGAACTCGCTGAAGAGGAAACAGGACCACAGGAGCCAGCCCCAGAAGATCCAGTTGATTATTTGGATCCTGCTGAAGAAGAGCCAGAGCTGGAAGAAGAGGTAATAGAAGAAGCAATCCCCGAAGTTTCCCCAGAAGAAGAAGAAGCTCCAGAGGAATACACAGAAGAAGAAGCTCCAGAGGAATACACAGAAGAAGAAGAAGCTCCAGAGGAATACACAGAAGAAGAAGAAGAAGCTCCAGAGGAATACACAGAAGAAGAAGAAGCTCCAGAGGAATACACAGAAGAAGAAGAAGCTCCAGAGGAATACACAGAAGAAGAAGAAGCTCCAGAGGAATACACAGAAGAAGAAGAAGCTCCAGAGGAATACACAGAAGAAGAAGAAGAAGAAGAAG